CGGCTTAACCACTCGGCCACGACTGCTTGTATATTTTTACTAATACACTATAAAATAGCGTTCTTTATATTCACAAGGTCATGATTGTCGATGCATTATTAAGAAGGTATAAAAATAAAATTGAGCTGTGCCCCTCGCATTTTTAGAAATAATCTCGTTTTGATAAGAAGTCTCCTTTAAGGTGACAGAACACCTTTAAAACTCAATTTTCGGTCAAAGTATCGATTTTTCGTTTTTGATCAAATATTAAAATTCAATCTTTTATCTTTCTAAATCTCTAAAAATTTTGTTTCTAGCTTAATTAGAAGCCAAGTTACAGCTTTTTTAATATTACTTGATCATGAATTTCTCTGACCGGAAATGCCTTTCTGCTAACCGGAAGTGGCCCAAATTGTTTGTTTACGTTTCTCTTTCATGGTATATGACATGAAATATGAAAATTAATATACAAATATTTTGTCAGAAATTAAAATAGAATATTTGAGAATAAATATAAATGTATTTAGAAATACATTTTTCCTTTTTTATGTATGAAATCTGGCATCAAATTTGTTGTTTAGTGACTTTGTTTACATATATGTTTGATTTTCATACTGAAAGAATCGACAGCGTAGAAAGTTAAAAAATAATTCTATTCTGTTTTATTTTTGCTTGAAAATGGTTTAAAGTATTGCTAGAAAGCGTAAGAGACAATTTTTTGGAAATAAATACACAAAAATTTCCGAAAATAACAGCAATTCAACACCTGTTCCTGAATGCACTACTAGTTCTTCAAAATTGGGAAATGAGAGTATGTCAACTGCAGAAGAAATGCCTGGTCCTCTGTTTGGTAACAGAATCATTGATCTTGAGCTTATTGTGGATGCATTTTCTCAACTTTGCTGCCCAAAATGTTTTGCTGAAAAAGTAGAGCTTTTTGAGGATTCCATGTATGGATTATGCTCTCATTTTACACTAAAATGTAAATGCTGTGACTTTTTCTTTACATTTGCTTCATCAAAAAAAGTTGTAAATGCACCAGTCATAAATACCAGGCTAGTATATGGTATGCGGCAGATAGGCAAGGGTTTTGCTGGTGCATTTAAATTATGCTCAACATTAAATTTGCCTCGACTGACAAAAACTGCTTTCAAAAATCAGGAAGCAAAGCTTTTAAAAGTGGTTCAGGAAGTAGCTGAGGAATCCATGAAAAAAGCTGCTACTGAAATTGCGGATATAAAACAAAAATTTTCATCTGATTTTGTAAAATGTGGCATATCTGTGGATGGCACATGGCAGCGTAGAGGCTATACATCTATGAATGGTTGTGTTCCTGCAATATCAGTTGATACTGGTAAGGTGTTAGAGGTAGAAGTTATGTCGTCCTACATGTAAGAGACTTCAGACTATGCCAAGAAACTCGTCGAATGAATATGAGTCGTCAAAAGCCGACCACATATGTCAGTGTAACTTTACGGGATCTTCGTCAAAAATGGAAATTGTGGGGGCTTCACGAATATTTCTTCGTTCAGAAAAAAACCGCAGACTTCAATACACGCAATATTATGCCGATGGTGACTCAAAAGCTTTCATGAGTGTGAAAGACACTTATGGAATGAACAGTGTGACAAAGTTTGAGTGCATTGGCCATGTACAAAAGAGAGTGGGCTTGCGTCTAAGAAAGCTAAAAACAAAAACTAAAGGACTGTCTGGTAAAGGCAAATTAACTGATAATTTTATCGACCGACTTCAAAATTACTACGGAATTGCTGTACGCAGTAATGTCGGTAACTTAAATGCCATGCAGCAAAATGTAATTGCTGCGTTATATCACTGTGCATCAAGTGATAAGAAACCGATGCATGGTCAGTGCCCAATAGGGAAAGACAGCTGGTGTTATTTTCAGCGGGGGTGGCAAATGGAACAAAATGTACCACAAAATATGCTGGTTTATCAAATGATGTTTTAAATAAAATTAAACCAGTATATTTAGAACTATGCGACAAACAGATATTAAGTAACTGCTTACATGGATGCACGCAAAATACAAATGAGTGTTTTAACGGAATAGTCTGGCAAAAAGTTCCGAAAGAAGTATTTGTTTCGCTCAAAACAATTAAATTTGGGTCGTATGATGCTGTTATATATTTCAATGAGGGATTAAATGGGTGCCTCAAAGTTTTTAATAAGATGAATATTGAAAATCCTGGGGTGTTTACCTTACGGGGATATAAACATTTAGATAAATGCAGAATCCGTGAATCGATTCATAACGCAGACCCCAAAACAAAGAAACATAGGAAAATTTTAAGAGCCCTTAAAAAGAAAAAAAATATTGTTTTAGAAGTTAAAGATGGAGAGAATTATAAATTTGGTGCATTTTAATAAGAAAGTAAGTGTTTTTCTTGTAATCAGATTAGTTTAATGTTATTTTTGTCGTTTTCTCAAAATGAGTTTTTTTACATTTTTTCTTACCGCAAAACACAATATCTCAAAAAGTTATGCTTGGATGAAATAAAAA